AGAAGAACATAAACAACTTGATGGAGCTGAAAAAAACAGCACAAAAAAAAAAAAAAGCATATACAAGTTTCAAAAAAAAAAAAAAAAAAAAAAAAAAACAGCATGAGGAAAATTCTGCCAAAGGCTCATGTAGGGATCAGCAAACATTTTTTGTAAAGAACCAGACTGTGGGTCGACTCTCCAAGATGGCCGAATAGACGCAACTCCAGCACACAACACCCAGCGAGAGAGAGGCAGAAATCCAGAGATCTCCTCGCTCCAAACGAGGTACCAGGGACATTTCAACAGGTCTGTTCCTACAGTGAGCAAAGCCCAGGCAAGGCAGAGCAAGGCAGGGAGGGGTGCTGCTTCACCCAGAAAGTGCATCTGACCAGTGAGTCAGAGGCTCCACCTCGGGCACTCTGGTCCAGATACAGCGCTTCCCCCACAGCCTCAGCAATACACAGACCAGGGGATCTTTGCCAGTCAAACGCCAGGAATTACAAGCATGGAGTTGAATAATAATCCAGGATGGTGTCCTGGATTGGTGCACAGACCTAAACAGACACATAAGCCCAAAAGCCAGCTAGAGCCTGTGGACCTAGCTATCACCCCCTCCCCTTGCCTGGAGCGACAGAGAGCTGTAAGCAGGAGGACAGACAGAGCAGCATGGTGGGCTCCTACCCCATGACTGGAGAGAGAGGAAGCTGAAAGGGGGAGATGGCAGGTGTGGCTGGGTGGATCCCTACCCTCCACCGTAAACTCCAGAGGGCTGAAGCTCTGACTCTAGCCGGTTGCACAGCCAGTGCCACAGTCTGAGCTGAACCCCAAATGATCCAGCACAGTGGAGGAAGGGCACAACCCACCATTAGAGAGGTGGAACTGGGCTACATGTTTTAACAAAAAATACAGGAAGCCTACCCTAGCAATGGGACAGCGTTCTTGACCAACCAACAGCACCTACAGGTCAGTAGAAGAGGTGGGCCTAATCTCTCAGTATAAACAAAAAAGACACAGGAAGCTTCCCTAGTAACCTGAAGAGTCCCTAGAAACCCAGTAGTGCATTGACAGGCAGACAAGTGATCTCATCAAGCAGCTCCCTGACACCACAGCCAGGTAAATCCATAAAGATGGGGTAAAAAAAACAGTGGAAAAAAAAAATGAAACCATCAAAGACCAGAACACCTCTTCTCCTTCAAGGGTTCAAAACTCCTCAACAACACATAAACACAATATGACCGAGAAAGAGTGTGACGAACTGACAGAAACAGGCTTCAGAAGGTGGATAATAACAAACTTTTCTGAGCTAAAGGAACACATTCTAACTCAATGCAAAGAAACCAAAAACCTTGAAAAAAGGTTAGACAAAATGCTAACTAGAATAACCAGCTTAG